TCATAACCAGAGAGCTGTGGTAAACATTACTGCAAAAAAAATAAAACAGAAGAAACACCAGTGCACAGTGTTCTGCCAGATCCATGAGGGCCATTACATCTCTGTTCCTATTACAGTATTCATAGGTTTTTATTGCTTGTTCTGTAAGATTTTGTTTAATGAGAAATAAACAGGTTTAGGAGGCTATTTCCCATCAACGATTCAGGAAGCATATTTTTCTTCAGAATGTGTACAATACGCAAAACACAAAGGTCCCATTCTATAAATAACACCTTTCTGGCACCATTGCAAAATAAATTGCTATTAGGCGTTGTTTATTTTTAACAATTTATTCATAAGATGTCACAAATACGAATCACAGTGGGAAACAGCTGAGAGGGAAAGTAACTGCAGAGTGCATAGGGCAAAGCTTCAGAGTCACATAGTTCCATTTCTGAGCTGAACCTCCAAACACAAGAGATTTCTAGAAGCTCCAGTACAGGGAGCAGTTAACATGGAATGGGCCAGTGGGACCAAAAAATGACAAAGGCTCAGCATGAGTCAAGCTCTAAGACCAAAGGTTGTGATGAGGGAGCTCTGAGATTGCTCTGCTATCCTGTAACAATATCATGCAAGGAAGCATTCCCTGGAGATCTCTGTCTGCAGACGGAAAGGGAATGGGCACTGACTTTAATGAAGACACATTACTTTGACACATCCGTTAAAGCTCACTGTTTTGCACTGTCATTAATTATTTCAAATCCAGCCAGATATAGTCTGCAATCCAAAAGTGCCTGTAAAAAGCTCACCTTCTGCTAATATATATAAGTTCAAACAGTATTTGCCAATTAATCATTAGAATTATAGAATGGTTTGGACTGGAAGAGACCTTTAAGATCATCTAGTTCCAACCACCCTGCTACAGTAAGGGACAACTCCCTCTAGACCAGGTTGCTCACAGCCCAATCCAGTCTGGCCTTGAAGGCTTCCTAGAAGGGGGCATCCACAATCTCACTGGGCAACCTGAGCCAGCATCTCACCACTCTCACAGCAAAGAATGACTTCTTAATATCTAGCTTAAATCTACCTTCTTCCAGTTTAAAACCATTTCTCCTCATACTGTATCTGCATGCCCTTACAAAAAGGCCCTTCCCAGCTTTCCTGTAGACCCCCTTCAGGTACTGGAAGGCCACTATAATGTCTCCTCTGAGCCTTCTCCTCTCCAGGCTAAAGAGCTCCAGCCATCTCAGCTTGCCATTTTCAGTACTCTGGCAACATATATATATGCATTTTAAAATTCAGAGATGATTTACTTTGTTCCTGCAAACACAGATCAGCCACGAGACAAAGCTGATATAAACTGAGGTAGCTTGCAGGCAACAATTCAAATTCAAGAAGAATATGCAGTATTTCGTATCCTTAGCCTAAACACTGAATATTTTGTACAAACACATGACTAGTTGTCAAGATCACAAACACGAAGTGTAAAAATCTGGCTTTTGATACAGGCTGCTTAGAAGGGCCAATTGCAGAGAAAATCCTTACTGTGTTTGTATTTTATTTGAAAGCACACCAATGATCGGGACGCTGCAACTGTGAACGGTTTCCTTCTAACAAAAGGCACCAGCATCAGCTAACAAATGTGTACCTGACAGATATACTAGTTGAGTATTAATAGGAGTAATGCCAGTAACTACAGAATGCATTAAAAAAGATACTGCTGTAGGACTCCTCAGCAAATCTAAAGGCAGAGTAAGTAGAAGTCTCAGCATACAATCTTAATGCATGCAATGATTTACTGAATTCCATGTAAAAATTTACCTAAGCAGAACATAAAGCATTTTGAGTCCATCAGAGAAAAAAAAAGTAAGCATTCTACTACATGAAAAATGTCTATAAATATTTTTCAAAAATACAGAGTATGATTTCAATAGGTACTTCAAATATAAGGCCAAAAATAGGCTGGTTAATTATCTCTGATTTTCTTATTTGGTTCAAACAAAGCACAGTGGTGTCGGGGTGAGGTTTTCTCTCATCAGAATCAAGTAGCAGAAGAAACTGGTGTTAAATATGACAACATATCATCACTATCTGTGTATGAAATCTAAAAAACACTGCATTATGATTTCTTTAAAGTGGGAACTAAACCTCATCATTGACCTAAAATCATTCAATTAATCCCAGTCAGTATCTCAGTGAGAAATGTTTTAGCTAATAACCAAGCTACTCACTTTTCTTCCTACTTCAGGAAGCAAGATATATACAGAAACATCTAGAGAACCATCTCCAATGAAATTCATTTGACCTAAAGGAAACTCAGCTTGTTGCCCAGAAGCTGAAAAGCAGAATTCAGAAGTAAATCACAAACTTGTTTTTCTGTACAAGTCTGCATTCAGCATCTGCAAGTCCACTCCACATAACAGTGCCTTATTTCCAAAAAGTGTCATCATTATTGTCATTATGGTCAAATTGATGTACTATTTTTTCTTACATCAGCACAGTTACGTAAAGCAGTATGCTTAGTAGCCATACATGCATGACTTTTTTTTTCTCTATTCCACCTGATGTTTTTAATTCTTATTGCAGGTATTTTACAATGGATAGTCTTCTTTCCTATTTGTTGTTATGCAATAGTGCCTATTAGTAATTCCCTACAAATATTCTTGCTTTATTCCAATCATTTTTACTATCTTCAGTGTCTAATTTATACAAAAAAATAAACTGTTTCAAATAAGCAGATCCATACTAAATCAGATTTGTAGTTATGTATGAGTGATGTAACTAAAACTCTGAAGAGAGCACGTAAAATAAGAGGTCTCAAGCTTTTACTGCCTAAATTATTGTTAGCCAAAGATAGTACTCATCTTTTCATTACTGGAAATGGAAAGGTGACAGGACATTTAACAATGAGGTACTTATTTTCACAGACCCTGTTCCTTGAGCAATAAATAGATTCATTAGGGGGGAAAAAAATGGAGAAAGAAAAAAGAGGGGAGAGATAGGAGGAAGAAAGGAGAAAATTAAAAAAATAAAAAAATAAAAAGAGACGAAAATTTTAAAGAGAAAATTTGAATTCTTTTATATTTCCTGTGTTCACAGTAAATAGTCACAAGGCAAGCACACCTTTTCTTTTTTATAACCTTCATTGGATCAGTAGCATGGCCATATAAGACACAATAATCACCCCAAAAAGTCAGAACTGTTATTACTAGTAGATCTCTCCAACACTCTGCCCACACACATACACACCTTATCTTTCCTTTCCTAAATAGGCAGTTTGACGGTATTAGATGCTCTGCACAGGAGACAGTTGCATCAAATCCATATTAAGAAATTCAAAACACTCAGCCAATTGCAGTCTCTTTCCTAAGGCAATTTAGCAAGGTTATACTCTGTTAATAACTTATCCTCAGAAATAATGACATTTGTATTATAAAGTTGAGAAAGAGAGGGCACTTTATAGATAAGTGCCATTTATTCAAAATGCTTTCATGTTAGAAACCATTTTATGGGTGCCCTTTAGACACTAGCACATCTCTACATTTCAGCAATTATTCATCATTTACACATCCATAATTTGAGAGAGTTTTAAACTCGAAATGAATAAGAAGCTCACGCTCTGCTTCAAATGGGTGAACCAGTCTTGATAACACCTCATATCTAAGAGATTCTAAATAAATTAAATAATGAGTGGGGAAGCATGAACCTTCCCTACTCTGACTGTGAACACGGCATAAAGTAGCAATAGTCTCCCAAATCCAGGATATAAGACAGAAATCTGTCTCACAGTCACAAAATCCCCTGTTACCATAGTGATGGGGACTGAACAAATGACTAAAAATACCTGGTCTTATTCACACTGTCTTAGGAATGTGACCTAAATGACATGTAATACATGATTTTCCATAATAAATTAATTGCATTTACTAGGAGCCAACACCGAGAAGCAGCATACTGTGCAAAAGTACAATGTGTAGTCAGACACTCAAAGAGATCACCTTCATCTCAAAGATGCAGCCTGAGCAGAGACATAGCTGGAAGACAGCAATGTATATATATGACACAAAAAGAAATCCCATGTAGGTCATTAACAAAGCAAAGGCACCAATTAAACACGATTTTCTCTCACTAAAGGAAGGATTCCAAAAGCATTCTTTCAAAACGCTGATGTATGGAATTAATTGTAACCTCCAAAGTTCACCATCTGCAACAACCTCTGTGTTGAGGTGGATGTAAAACTTAAGACACAGAAGTAATACCTGTGTTTATATCAGCTTTCGTTCACAGCACCTATATATGCCATTATAAAACAAAAGCATGCTACCATAGAGGAGAAATGGATAATGGCATCTCCCAAATCACACTGTGAGGCTCTCAAAGAGGCTGCCTCCACAAGCCTTACCCAAGAGCTGCTGATCAGCAGTAAGAGCAGAGTATTGCAGGTTCCCCAGCTGACTACCCCAGGAAAGAGAAAAGACAGAAGGAAGATAAGACTAGCTTTATGTGAAGGGCTTAATTTTTTTTAATATTTTTATTTTTTTCTATTTTTAAAGGGCAATTTTCTCCCTTCTGTTTACAGTGCATTATACCTTGACTCATGGCATCTTATTCTATTTACATTCATCTATTCATTTGTGAATGTTTTTAAAATTTAGTTGGGCTTTGTTGCTTAAGAGTGATGAAAAGCAAGTACCACTGACATTACAAAACAAGGAATAAGGCAAGTGTTTTTCCTGGAGGCACCTGCAAGTGCAGACCCGCTACAGACTTTCTCTTCATTCTCTTACTACATTTCAAGATATTATGGAGCTGTAGTCCTGCATTGTTAGACAAAAGGCAATTCAACAAAATGTACTTTATTTCATGTATAAGGATAAAATGATTCATTTCCAAAAAGAACATGAAAGAACATGCTTTTAAGAACAGTAGCTTCATGACACAATGGAAACAAATGACTGAAAGTCTACACTTGCATTTGAACTTTTTGTACCATTGCAAAGCATTTTTAAATAACAACTTGCCTGGAAAGACCAGCTGAAAGATCCGCTGTACTCCGCTGGCAGGTATAAAATATCCACAGTCTCTAAAATACTCAGGTAGATGATTTCTGTCCATTTTTTGGCCAAACTCCCTCTTGGAAAACATTGCTTCATAAACTAAGAAGAGAAGATCCCATTAAATATGTAGTTACGATATGCTATTAGGCACCAATTTTTCTAGAAATATTTTCTTTAGGATCAAGTTAATTCATTTGGTAAACTAAGTATGGAAACCATAGGCCTGTGTGGAAATCTGATGATTAGGTAGCTTGCTGATGGCTGAATTTTGCAATAAGTGAAACTCGCATCATCCTTACCAAGCACCAAAGAGAACAGATAGGTTGAAAGAATTCTCTCCCCATATAAGGATTTCTCAGCAAGGAAAGCTGATGAACCAGTCCCTGCAAGACAAGGCTCGTAGAAAGGAGGCTGAGGAAAGTGGATAACTACAGCGGTTCATACTCTTTTTTTACTTGGCAAACAAGCTCTAAAATAGTATATTAAACTGTTGCCCCTAAAATAAAATGCAGGTGAAAAAACTCCCAGTGTAAGACATTGCCTCTAGTAATGTCATAATGGAGATGCCTGTAGATGCACAATTAGAAAAAAACAGAGACATGTACATTCAATTATTTTTTTGACAAATTCAATATATTTAAAAATATAGCTTAGTCAAATACACTAACTCAGAGAAATAGGCACTGCGTGGTTAGTTTGCACTGCTCAGGGAGGATAAAGTATGAATTAAAAATGGAAACCCTTAGTCATCTAGACTTTGAGGTCCACAGCTGATCTACCTACCCCGCACATTTTTTTCAGAACTGCTGCCAAAAATCTTCATCTCTGAGAGACAGAGGTTATCTGTCTAGCTAAACTTACTATCTACTAATAAACCAATAATTTTCCTGTAAGGGTTAACAGAAATAGATCAAATTACATTCTACACTATGTGTGAGCATCTGTAATGTCTGTTTCTGTCTTCACCAAAGAAGAGCAAATTAATGTCAATTTAGTATTCCAGAAAAACAGCATCTGCCTTTTAAGTCAGACTTTGCACTCTAATTTTTGAAGACCGTAACAAAAAAACAACAACAAAAGACAATATACTGAGCTGCAATATCCTGTCATATCTACAAAGATGCTTTGAAGGTATAACGTTAAGACTTCCTGTTAAAGCACTAGTGACAACAACTGAAAAGCATGTCATCAAAATACGAAGAGCAGTACAAATTTTTCAGCTAGCCAACATCACCCAGTGTGTTATGAACTACTCAGCCTGGATAAACAAATACACTTTTTCAGGAGGATTTAGACTACGTTCTAGGAGTTAATTAGTTTTACTGTTTGTTTTTTTTTTCATAGCATATTAGGGAAAAAACTCATTTCTGCATATAGTATTTAAAGTATATACACATACATTTCATATGTGGTGATAGGAATACAAGACCTGATTAAGGAATTTTGAAGTAAACACTGAGACTATGTCATCAACATCCAGAAGCTACTTTTTCCAAAGGTATAAAACTTTACGTACGTAGAGTCAAAGGACTGAATGAAAATTGGAATCATAATTTAAACAAATAATACATTTCATGTTCAAATGGTGTAAGAATCAATCAGAATCAACTTTTAGTTGGTACTATATTTTTATTTCTCTGAAATGCTTATTTAGAGTAGAAAAAATAAAGCAGCACATCTAAGTCCAATGTAGAGTGCTATTGTTTTGTTGCATAGTTGAAAACTTCAATTTTTGTTTTCTTAGTTTTTCCTATCAGGAAAGCTATTTATTGTATGCTTTCACCTCATCTTGCAGCCACGTCTTCCACTGGAAGAGGAATTTGAAAGACAATAGATTACATAAAAAGGAAATTTAGATTATATTTTTGCAGTCTGAACTGCTTTTTCTTTTCCTTAATATCTTCCCATATCATCTGGGTAATAAGAATGACACAAATATATTCAAAACTATGCAAAAGTCAGTGAGCAGAGCATCTGGAGTTAAGAGACAGGCAGCTTTGATATTAGTCAACTATTTCCTTGTATTTTAATGTTTTTTGCTTACTTATCATGAGAACCATCAAGAAAAGCAGCCTTCAAGCTATTGACATCTATGCTCCTCTCAGTCATTGCAGTTTACCTGTTGTGTCTATGAGTTTTGTAACATGCAGATGAACTATAACATGTGCCCTCACTATTACATTTGCTTGACTGTACAGGACAGTCATCAAATAGGATAAACATATCAAGTGTAAAATTAGTTCCATGAATAAAATTTTCAATACATAGATTGCTCAAAAAATCTACAAAGGTACCTTCTTTTGAAGTCACTAGACATCTTGCTTCGCAACATTACACAGTGCCCATCACTTAACAGTTAATTAGGGTCTGAGACCACATCACGTTGACACAATAATGATACTTCATTATTAATTTATTTACCAAATGACTGGAACAGTCTCTTTATTCAAATTAAATCCTACAGTTCTGAAGTTCTGGAATGATGTTTTAGAAATGCAGCTGTCTGTAAGGGGAAATGAAATCTGCCTTGAACCAAAAACCATTTAAAAATGATTGTGTTGTGAACATGGAATATTACTTAACAAGTGCCAGACTACTGGAATTAAAATTAAGGTAATTTTGTGTTAAATGCAATTACTTACATTTTTTCTTGTCCATCCACTCCTCTAATTCAAAATAATGAAGTGGTGTAGACAGATCCAAAACACCAGCTCGACTTTTAATGCGTGCCATCATGTTACGGTAGCACTTTACAGCTGCTAGTAAGGATGACCCATAACTTGCTGACTGTAATTAAAGATATTTTTCACTTTCATTACTCATTACTAAAAGTGACCAAAAAAAAAAAAAAAAAAAAAAAAAAAAAACAGATGAGATGGAGTGGAGAGGTGTGCAGCACAAAGGAAAAATCTTAAAGAAAACAAGAATAAATTCCACTGCTGTAAACACTTGGACAGATTTGTGAAAACATTTACTCCACAGAACTAATGCAAAATAGTCCATTCCAGAGCTGACTAGGTAAAACTATTGGATAAAACTTTTTTTGGATTAACACATTTTATTCCAAATTATATAAGTAGGTCAGGAACTGTGTAAAATAGGAAATACTATCTGCAAAGTCTGGAACAAGGCTCTGTATCTCAGCAGAGGAAAAGTGGAACAGTGAACAAGGTGAGAAACTTTATGTTCAACATTTGGTTTTTGATTTAAAGTATGTCATCGGAGGAAAAATACATATTTGTCCTCCTGCAGCCCAGAAGTAGATATTAAGACATGTAGTTTTACCTCATTCTTAATTTTATCAGCAGCAAAAACTGCTGCTCCTCTTGTATATAAGGTGAAGGAACATTTTTAAAGGTTGATGATTACCAAATAATATGACCTGATTTTTACAATCTATTTTAGGATTCTGGAAAACTAATAAAATAGTTTAATGAATGACTCAGTTCCTACTTGACCCACTTACTTCAATGAGATACATATTTTCTTATGGCATGCTTCTGAGACAAGAGGCTTAGATATCACTAGAAAAATGATATCTTAACTGAAGTTGTTCAGCCTCCACAAGCATCCAACCTGCAATACGCATAAGCTCCTCTAACTTGATATGAACTCTGAGATTGAAATCAGAAGCGTGTATGGTGGCATTGGTGTTATATCATTTCTCAGGAAATGACATTTCATTTAGCAATACTTGCTGAAAAACAAGAACAGTAACTACACTGTAGAATCCATGATTTTGTTCAGTAGTTTAGCATAAAACAGAGGAAGAAGAGTGCAATAACAGTCTGCTATCCATATCTTGTTTACCTCAAAAACTCCAAGTCCTTTAATTAACAATACAATACACATATATAACAACAGTATTTAAAGGCAAAAGAATCATAGGTCACACAGGCTATTCTCTTCCAAAAATAATGGAGAGAATTCTTACAATCAAGTGATAGAAACAGGTTCCAGCAGAGAACTCACTATCAGTGAATTACCTCTGACCTTGAAGGTGCAGAAGAGCAATGGCAGACAAATGGCTAGCTGAGCACAGGTTTTTTTCATTGCCAAATAGTAATAATTCTTACACAACTAGAATTTAAGCAGTACATGGATTAAACAATCAAAACATTACCTTAATCTTTACTCTCATGTACGCCCTACGTACGAGCCACCCTCTCACATATCTTTGAATGCAAATGACTGCTTTAAGTTCTTCTCTATTCCTAGGATGCTTTTTACTATCACAAACAGCTTCAAAGATTTCTGGGTGAGTTACGTTCTTCTTCAGCTTCTTCTGTGTTTGAAGGGAAAGGCATTTATCACTAGAAATTGAAGTACAGAAAATTTGTTTTTCAGTTTGGTAGAAAAATGTTTGAAATACGAATCAAAATTCTAGTACACAAATTTCAGGTTGTACTTAAAATAATTACAAAATCACATACAAACCTTTCACTTACATGAATATATTGAAAAGACTGAAGTGAAATTGATGGTAATTTACCATTTACAATTACAGAATAACCATCCGAATCTATTTGACAAATATTTTGTTACAGATGCATAGATGAGCTGAATTCTCTTGTTTTTGTAAACGATAAGGATTAAGCTACTACTTTAAACATTTTTAATATTTTCAATTCCTATTCAATTACACAGCTTTTTCCATCCATCCCAGGAGTACGCAAAAAACGTATCTAATGTAAAAACCACTTTTCTGAAGTAATGACTTTGAGTCAGGCTAAAAAAATAAATTTTTATATACATATATATATATATTTCTTACAAAGGATATAATACCTCCAGTAGATAGACCCTCTGACACCCTTAAGTATCCCTTCTATCTAAATGCAAACTTTCATAGCTTTTATTAATGTGTAGGGAAATTAGTCAGGAAATTTTCCATTAAATTTCAAAAAAAAAAAAAAAAAAAAAAAAAAAAAAAAAAAAAAAAAAAAAAACATTTTACAAGTACATAGAAATGTACTGAAGTCAATCCTTTTTGTAAGTACATACAAAGAAAGGCTGTATTGGAGTTTTTCCTTTCAAAATAAGATAGCAAAAACACCAGACCCAAGGAGATACTCAATGACCTCACCTGTATACGTTTCTGTCACAGAGAAATTAATAAAAAAATCATATTTAAACCCAAAAATATGTCAATTTTGTCTTAATTAAAAACAAACAGACCAAAAAAAAAAAAAAAACCAACAAAAAAAAACAAGAAATTAACTCCGTAAAGTGGTTAATCAAAGCACTAGATTTTGCATTTGAAGCTGTGTAACTGGCAGAAATGTAAACTGAAATATAGCTGAGTATTTTCTCTCATCTAACACACTCAGAGATTTCTTTTTTTCATAAGGGAATAGTCATTTTTATAGTTAAGGTCATAAGTAACCATATATTGTAAAGTCAGCTGCAGTTTTACTTAATATACCTAGATTATGCCAAGACTAAACCAATCTGCTCGAAATATAATTTGTCAGGAAAATGTTTTTTGGTGCCTGGCCTTAATTAAGCAAGGTGTTAATCAGACAAAAATGCTTGAGATACAGAGATCTGAGTGCTACTCAGAATCTTACGATTTTACTTCCTTAACTGGATTTTCATTTTATTGTTACAGAAATAGGTTAAATGATGAATTCCAAACTAGGTATTTTCTGGTCTTCTGCAGCACTTCCTCCTTCTAGCCAAAAGCCCGCAAGACTTTTAATCAGACCATCTTTTTATAATTAAAAAGTATCATTTGCACTTATTCATCATTTCAATTTGTGCCACGAAGAAAAATCTGTCCCATAAATCTTGATCTCTCCACTGGTTAAAAAAACTTCCAGGTATTTCATATAACTTCCCAATGTGGGACCACAATCTCACTGCTCACATTCTGATACACCCACCGTATCTTCCCAGAGTGAACCAAAAATTCATCTATCAGCTCATCTGAGCTCTATACCAACAATACTGATTATTATTTCCCAGAAATTATAACAGAGTGCAACATTTCTATTTGCTTGCAAGGTTTCTGAGAAATTGCAGTTTCTTGAGTTGCGCAGGGGATACCATGAGTGGAGTCATTTCCACGGCCATTTCTAGACAACTCCAGCCAGTTTGTAGGTAATGCTTATTTACTGTGTCAAACATTAGGATATTGAAGGACAACTCTACTGAACAGATCAGTCCACTGCCTTCAAAGGCCAGGGACATCATGTTGGATGCACAAGAAGGGAAGTACCTGATTTATTAGATACACGCACATAAAGAATGCACATAATACTTCTATTTTGGGGTTTTTTTGCTTGGATTTTTTTGTTTGGTTGGTTTTGTTTTCAAATTTTGAGAAAAAGGTTATCAGAAATGATTATCTACATGAGAGGGCAGAACCCATTCTGTTAACTTACAGGAAGAAAAATTTGAGAACTTTTCTTGACACTGCCATCAGATTCGTATTTTAGATACAGTTTGATTTTTTAAGAAAGCCCTCAAATCACTATGGAAGTTGGTAAGGAGAAGTAGGTTATCTGTGGAAGATAGAGCACTCAATGTAAGGAAAGAAAGTCTTTCTAACACCACCAAATATGAAATTAACTCTTTTTTTGAAAATGCATTTCAGAACAATTTTGAGTCTGCAACTGCTTGGTCTTTTAAAAATCATAATAACAAAAAAAAATATGGAAGATATGAACAAGTGCTTGTTTGAAATTCCAAGCGTACATTCAAGTTCTCACTTAGGTACAGCAGCTGCCTGCACTACAAATGTATTTGTAAAATCAAATTCATTCTGCAGAACTGATGGCAATGCATTGACTGGATCTTTCTACTGAATTATGCATTTGGCAATTTTTCTATCATCTCACAATTTAATTTCATGCAATTTACATATGCTGATTAATAGCGCAACGTAAAGATGTATTTAATGTAATCTGCCACTGGTGTATAAATTACGTCTTGTATTGGTACTTTGTACTTTTCTTAAAGATTAACTTCAGTTAATGTTATATACCAGTTACACTGTCCTTTCACTTTTATGTATAACAAAAGACACGTACTAAACTACCACTTGCTTAATACAATTTCTATCAGTTACACTACTTCTAAATGAGCTTTTTTATCACCAGATTTGTTGCTTTACTGGAAGAAAATAGCTAGACGTGGAAAAAAAAAAAGTGTTTTTATTTAAGGAGTGTTTAGAACATTCTAGGCCAGAACAAGTACCAGGCATGATGTTTGAAGAGCAATTTTTATCAAGCCATCAGTTTCTCTACATTAATATATATTTCCATCACTTATAAATTGCAGTTCAGATATTGCTACTAATTAGTTTTGGCTGATACTGGAGTATTTTTTATGCCCCACTTATAAAAGCTGTTTGCCCATCTGTTAATAGGTTGGAAGTGATTAAAGGACACTTATTTTGGCTGTTGCAAAGGCCAAATCATTTTAAAGCTGCAAATATGTGACAAAATCAGCTAAAGATTTGCCAAGTTCAGGACCTGATTTTCCTAAAGGTTTGTGGTGTCTGCTTTCTCCCTCTTCTGCTTGAAGTATCCGAGTCCTCAGTACACAAACATGAAATTTCAGCCTAGTAATTAATGATAGGCCACACCTGCTAACTGTCTGAATACCTATACCTTCTCTTCTTGCCTATTGTTTCATCAATGCGAATAAAAGAGCAGAAAAATGAGACATAGGTGAATTCAGGTAATATCAGAGCAAAGACAAGACAAAAGAAGTAAAGAATTGCATGAAAACTGCATTCACATAGAGTGAGCTGGCAATCAACAGCAAACAAAAATCTCTAATAACAGGAGAGTTGTGCTTGCCATTTTTATTAGATAATTGAAGCCTTCCATCTCACCTTCGGAAGAGTATTTCAGTCACATATTTTTCTGAATTATATGAATAAGACTCATGCAAGGATCTGGAATAACTCCTGTATAATATTTACATCCTATGGCCTAACTGAAGGCAAATTTCACATACTAAACTATATCCTGTTTTTTTTCCACATAATTTGATGTTTTAAAATATCAGGATAGAACTCCAGCTGACCCTTATTCCAGGAGAAAAGTAACAACGGAGTTGTGAAGAGTTTTCAAGCAGATATTGTAACACTGGCTGCTCTGAAATTCCCTGAATAACTTACTCCAAGAATTTCAAAGGTAATATCAAAGGGAAAAGACCAGTTACTAATTCTAGACTTACTTGCTTCATCTGCAAAATTAATTTCATAAACGAGCAACATGAAGTGCTATCGACGTACATTAAAGGCATACCACCTTCATTGTATTTCTCTAATGGAAAATCTGTCAAGTGCATTCCTTAATGATTATATGACTTAAAAATTCAACAAATGAAAGGATTATCGCTGAAATCATATTAATCGGCAGAGGATTAACAGCCTACTGTTGAAAGACTTCATGAACTGCAATAGGAGATGATTTGAAATTAAAAATGCAAAGAGCTCCGCACATAAATATTGCAGAACTGTAGATATTGAAGCAGAAAAAGCAAAAAAGGATTGAAACAAAGGCTACTGATGTGAATAAAATCTTTCAGCATCAAAACTAAAACAAAACTGTAAGAAACATGCTATACTCTAACATCCTTACCGCTTGTGTGCAGTTTACTCTTTTCCTTTCTAAGTTTGTGTAGCCAATTGTCCTCTCATTCTCACTTGTAATTCCAAACACATTTAGACACATTATATGAAATGTTTTTCAAGAATGAAACACGTTGCTATTAACCATTCTGAATCCACCAAAAGACTGACAATGAAGTCTTGATTTCCTCCTGGTACTGTTTCCATTAATGGTCAGAAAGATTTTACAAAAACATTTAACTGTGCACAGCACAGCATCAAAAATTTGAGCACACAGATATATTGTTCTATTTTTCCCGTCTGTAGAAACATAATGAAATTATGGCTAGGCATTTCCTGTTACTTCATGGCCAGAGTTCATCTCATCAAATCTAATACAACAGCTATTCATATTCATGAAAATACTTAAGGATGTGTTTGATTTTAGCTTTAGTGCATATTTTAGGATATGCCTGAAGTTAGGCACATACTTAAAATGCCATGCTGAATTGGAATGTAGGCAATTGTATGCTTACCTGAGCTGAAGTTAAAAATTAAGCATATGCTTAAGTGTTTTTCTGAATACAGATGGAACGCTGAACGGGAGCCCAGTGATTACTCACAAGTGTCAGTATGTTCCTAATCCAGAAATTATCACTACACAAATAAAATCGGAAGATATGCATATACATAATCAATGTATGGCTGACTAGAATTTTGATGACCAACTAATTACAATTCTTGCAGACATAAATAGGAAAGACGATGAAACACTGCTTAAATTCAAAGACATATCCCAAATTATTCACTCAGGATGTTCACAGAAGACAAAATATGACAGTAAAACAACATGGATGCATAAAGAGAAGCTGTAATGACAGACACAACAGCTTTAACTTTCAGCTGAAGACAGTTTTCAACATTAGTGAGCTTAATTAAGCTGATCTTATAGCTTGGTAACAGAATTTGCCCAGTATTCCGAGGACACAGTGATATTAAAAAAAAAAAAAAAAAAAAAAAATCTGGTTCATCAGACCATGTGAACCAGACCCAGAATCGTCATGCTGATGTTTTGCAACTTAATGACATTGCAAATCTGTAGATTCTATTGGAAATATTGTGAATGCATGACTAAGACCCATTCATGCTTTCTAATTCTTTTGTCAGTTTAAATACAAATTTCGATAAGAAAAAACATTGGAAAATACAATTGAAAACAAGTCAGTTTCATCTGCCATTTTAACAAAAGATTAATAGGAAAAAAAGCACCTCCATTTTTTCTTTTCTATTTTACCACCCGATGCAGCACATTTCTTTTTGTTGGTTCGGAAGTCTATCTGGAAAGACAGAAGAGACAAAAGATCTAGTCAATTAGGTACTCCCTGTTTATCTACTTTTGGTTCTAATTCTAGCATTGCCTTATTTAATCAATACGAAAACACACAAATACAAAATGTTTTTCCTCATAGAACCACTTGTGTAGATGAGTTTTATTAGTATTTGTTGTGCTATATTTCTGCTCTGGCTAACTCCTGGAAAGGATATGTCCTCTGGTAAAAGTAAAAAAAAAAAAAAAAACCAGCATATAATGGAATAACCTAACTATAACCCATCTCAGTTGCCCTTCTCTAGTATGAAATACGGCTTTTTTCATATACATTTTCAGGCTGTATTTACTGATGATGAATATCATACACTGTTTTTACAACCCATTGATTCAGTATCATGAGATCTAACTACAAGGTAACTGAGCTGCAATAAAATCTTGAAAGCAGGGGAAAGGCTGATAAAAAAAAATAATGATCTCTGCCAATCTCACACTTTACCTTTCAGATGCCTTTTCTTTTTAGGACATTCTGATTGGCATGCAATATTAAGATATGCATGCAATAGGGACATAGTAAGAACTATGTCCTGATCAGAAGCCGGCTACATGAATGTTTTTTTATGTTCTTAGTATATTCTAGCTAGATTATTAGTACTACAGATGATATCAGGAATTTCCCTGTCAGTGAAGGACAGGTGATTTTCACCTATCCAACTCACAGACAAGTCCTATTGATTCCGTGCTGCCTTCCCACACACTGTTGGCTATATCACAGTCCCTAGTCTCGTTTACTGAAACTAGAGTCTCACGTGTAACTGTATACTAGCCTTGCCTATTATCTACCATCTTAGTCCCTACACTGCTCCACTCCTGTTATCTCAGACCAGTCCACAGTCATGCTATTCTCCCAGCTCATGGGATAACACTTTCTCTGATTCTTCTTCTGCCCTGATCTGCTTGGCTTCTGTCATTAATTTTCACTACCTCCTGACTGCAGCCTCTCTCCACAGGGCCATCTGTCTCAAGACACACAGATATGAACATGTTTCCTGTTCACCCCTAAACTGTTTTTCTTCCAATGGACAAAGCCCTACTATATTTTAGAGTCCATTTAGCGATGAGTCAATTTGAGAAAACTTAATCATAACAATTCTAAATTCTGAACTGTGTTGATGCCAAATTTAGAGCAAATCAGGTGTTCGCTTTTAGAGTACTTCCCTGCACAAAACATTTTCATTAATTTTTCCAGTCACCAGAAAGTTCTGATAAGCAACTAACAAAATATGATTTCATTTAAAAAACCTTAGTAGTATGTGCTAAATTAATGCTGGCAATGCATTAAGTATATCTTTTTTCAAGAATGATATTTAGCAAATCTACACACGGTGCCTCAATAGGAGACACCAACTACCATTTTTTAATCAAAGACGGCCAGTTTTAAGTTTTGAAATCAATGCACAGACTTGTATTGCAGATTTCAACCACTGAGGTATAGGTTACCCAAATGCTAGAAAAAAAGAAACTTTTTTTTTTGTTTTTAAACTAAGTTACTACATTTAAAGTACATGCTATTGGACAAAGAGGGCCTGGCTCTGTACACCCTTTAATTTTTTTGGATCATCATCCATCAATTAAATGTTATCTCCAGGGAGAATTAAAATGAATGCTCATTACCAGGAATAGCCTTATTCCTGATTTTTATAGTTACGTTGTTCTTTGGTCATTTACTTAAGAAGTCGTCTGTTATTACTGAGCAGCTGTGGCGAATTCAATTGGTTTTCATACTATTTTACCATATTTTTGTTTTCACATCTGTTTTTGACCTAAGAATCTGAGTTCTAAAATGATTCCTTCCAGATCTAGAGTGGTTAATACCCATCATCTTATCAGACTATTCATTCATTTGGAAACCTTGCCCAGCATATGAAGTGTATGATGGCAGGTAGCCTACTTTTTACTTCATGTTGTGTAATATTAAGACAGTGTCTAATAAAGCCTCCATCAATGATTTAATAGGAAGATGAAACTAAACTTCTTGTGCAATTGAGATGTGAATTGATAACTTTATACAGCCTGAGTGTTAATATCAGCTTAGGAGAAAATAGGAGAAAAAAAGTGGACATAGAAGTGAGATACACTTACTATCTGCGTAAGACCTCAAGAGCCATTCTCCAAAAATGTGTTTCTGGGCAAATGTACAACAATAAAGTGATTTTGCACATTTCTGAGTATAAATGTTTAATTCAGTGTAAAATATATACCTGATGACTTTCTAAGTTGCTTCAAATATGTCTTACTAATGAAGATGAGATTTACCTAATGCTACAAGACCTCATCCGAGCTATTCTTGGGTTCTCCAGCTGTGCTTATTGGTATGTAATGCTGACAAAGGAAATTAACACACTACTGAATACATTATAAGGATTTGCCAGGACCAGATCTCCAAATACATTTGATATAAAAAAAAAATCAAGTATCAAACATATGTAAACATTGCTTATTTCAAAAATGGACAGTTTAAAAGATAACCGTTGATCTGCAGTCTGCTACCTATAAAACCTAATGAAGCAGGGAGAAAACTATTTTTCACCTTACTTGAAGTATTCTTTTTAAAGTATGATTTATCTTACATTACTTTCTTAAAGCAAGTTTGCCACTTAGTTTGAAGTACATGCCCTTTTAACTGTAGGGAAAATCATATCATCAATCCCTGAGAAATAGATGAGAAATATACACAGAGGTTTTCTTTGCAATCTGCACTTGCCATGATATTTAATACACTGCTACAACAAAGGAATCAAATGGCTTTATCGTCTCAGAATCTTCCATACAAGCCAGTGCAGTGAAACATGTGTTTGAATCAGAGGGAGCTGCTCTCGCTTCACATTATGATGAGCCACTTGCCAATTGAGTTCAGCCTCCTATCTCCCAATTGCAGAAGGAATTTAATTGGCTATTGCAGCAATCTGTATTCTGATAAGGTTGCTGAGAGAAGGAAAGAAAAAAAGAAAAAAAAGAAAAAAAGGGAAAACCTGTTTCATTTGAAGACTGCAAATCATGTTTTTCTTCTACAATCCTCTGTTTGTGCTGGTCCACCTACACAGCATGCAGACATCTTTCAAGCAACCATTACTCTAGATTTCTCATTTCTTCCTGGGGCCATCCAAAAGTTCACAGTTCCTTTTCTTTACTTCCCAAACTAACTTTGAAGTCTCCGATACGTGACTGTTGTGGTTTAACCCAGCAAGAGACTAAGCACCACACTATCTTGTACTCCCCTCTCTCCCAGGGGGAGAGGGGAGAGAATTAAAAAAACAAAACACAACTTGTGTGTTGAGATAAAAAATATTTACTAAGATGAAGATATAACTGTTATGAATATATATATTTATATGAATGTACATAACAAGGAATGCACAAGCAATTGCTCACCACCTGCAGACTGATGCCTAGCTAGCCCCAGTGGGTAAACAGAGCAAGATGAACTCCCACTCCCTTCAGAACTCCTTCTGCATAATGTTGTATGGTAGGGAATACACCTCAGGCCAGTTTAAGTCAGATGTCCTGATACTGTGCCCTCCAGTGTCCATTGGCCCTCTGCTGAGAATGGCCTAGACTCTATACAACACAGTTTAGCATCAACTATAAACATCAGTTTGTTTATATCAATTACTTTTCTCCTAACAAACCAAAACTTAATAATCATACCAGACACCCTAAAGAAAAGAATTCCACCCCAGCTAAAACTAAGACAGCGTCCCAGCAGCTTGTGCATGCTTTCATCTGAGGCTGCCTCCCTCCTATGAATTCCAAGTTTCATTCCGCCTGAGACAAGTGTGGCCTGCAATAAAGACCTTGCTTCCACTTCACAAGCCACCTGTTATCTTCTTCACCAACCTGCCAACTTCTCTGTTGCTTCCCGGTCCTGCTGCTCCCCAGCCCACTGTGCCATCTGCACAGCAGGAATTCAGAGATAAACTTACCAAGTGTTAGAAGTCTCAGCTTTGTCTCAGAGATGTTGTGGTTTTGTGAGAAGAATAATTATTCTGGAATAAAAGTAACTTTCATTTAAGAATAACGTCTGCATGGAAACTGACTCCAGAACTGGAGTAGAAAACTTATTTGACTCTAGTTCTGGCTTGTCTGCTTCCTCCTTTATATGGAGAACATGAACTACTTCTGAATAGTAACAGCTTTTTTTTAGTAGAACAGGCTAGATATAGACATAATCATTTCATTAAACTGAAAAAAAGTATGAAAAGAAATTTAAACATCAGTAACATTTCTAGTATTTTCTAAGTGAGGAGAAGCTGAAATACAGCATTCTAAAATTTGTGGTTCTGATGACTGAAAAACCTTTTAAGTCTTCTGTGCCATCATAATAATAAATTTAAAAAAAACAAAAAAACAAAAACAAAACAAAAAAAAAAAAAACATTAGAAATGAAAATGTAGATCACATCGCAGCATCCAAGAAGATGTTGAAAGGAGCTGTGGAGTTGTATGAAGCACTGGAAGAGGTGACTATGTTGCAACCAGAGAAAAGATCTACCTTGTTTATCATAGCCAGTATTAGGTACCATGCCATAGAAACTCAAGACCTTAGTCTTGGTTTCAGGGCCCCATGATGATGAACACTGATATAGGGTAATCATTAGCCCAGATAGTTACCAATTGCATTAAAAAAATATCAAGAGGCAATAGAGAAATACAGACAGGTGAAGTAACATGAGGAAATAATGAATTGATTTTGTTTGCCATGATACAGAACTATCACAGTACTTAATGGTTGTAATTATTGAACAGACAGTATGGTGAAGGTTAATCTTAAGAATGAAGAGAAAGTGCATTAAAGATCATGTTTTGGGCTACCTACAAAAAGTTTCTGGCAAGCCTACCAGGTAGCCCAGAAAAAACACCTACAGTAGCATGCTGGAACCTTGCATCATTCATCAGTAAGAAGAATAGAAGCTGATCACTCTATTTTAAATCAGAGATCATAGAGTGGAAAAGGATGTTTCACATTTTGTTCAATTCAGATTATTATGATATCCTGTTTAAACTGGTGAATTTGAACTATGGAACCACTCTGCATGATAAGCACTAGAACTCTCTATCAGCATTGAATCATAATTCAAGCTAATTCACAGCTAGCTTTGAAAGAGCTTCAGATTTAAATAACTGTGTCTTATTTTAGGTTGAGTGTAAAACTGTAGTAAAGTGAAAATCACAAGCAAACCAAGCTATCTCAGTACTTAAAACATCACCATTATATCCCCTTCCCAAAGAAAAGAAATCAATAACTGAAAAACAGATTCTCGTGTGGTAATACCTTATCTACAACCCTTTCTTTCTCAAAGACCTTTTTGAAAAAGATTTTATTAAGCATATCTTGAAGTTTAATGTACTACTCTTTCTGGTTTTATTTATCAGAGAATACATAAAAGCCACTTTAAAGAAACAATGAATGCTTGTATACAGACAAGAAGAGCTTCAGGCACTTTCTGAGCACTGTCACTGTTTTACCCAGATTCATACGACATAGCAATCTATGTTGCCTCTTCTCATTAAATAAAATACAGTCAGACACGCAAATATTCTGAAACATCTTCATTCCTGTGAAATGTTGAGTAACAAATATGTCTGCACATGACATGCTTTCTAGTCTTTCTTCCTCAGTTCTTGTCCATATTTTAATAGCTTTTCTTTTCGCTAGATTAGGTACTATAGTTGATTTCATCACATATAAACGCCATGAAGCATGTAAGGAAACTTTGTAACTCACCTACCTGGAGTACAGCTGTTGTAAACAGAAAACTGACTTGAAGTTAAAAATAATTGAAAGGATGTTCTTCAAAATCAGCTATAAGAACAACCTAACTGCATTGGCAGTGAAGGCCTATCATCAATGCCTCTGTGGAGGAGGCATCCTAGCTATGTTATCTACACAGAGAAAGAGTACCATCATGTCTTTGGATTATGAGTCCACTGCAGGCACATTCATGACATCAGAACATTTCAAGATTTTGTAGCTTAGTTTTGTTCAGTTGTAAAACAAAATCAAGAATCTAGTGCAGTGGCTAAGGATTCACCTAGGTTGTCACAAAGTCACATACAACAGAATGCCCTGAATGAATCAGCACAGTGATTTTCAACTTCAGCCTACCCAAATAAACCCTTTGCAAGTTTGACTTCAAGAGTGAGTAAGCATTTCTGTTTTTCTCATTTTCTCCCCACAGCAGACATTTTAGGCCTTGAGAAATTCTTCTTGACAAAAATACCGTTGAAACTCATTTCTGAAGGAAAACACTCCAGCTGGAGAGTTTCAGGGTTTGCCTGAAGGCAGGTTATGTTTATCAGTCATTTGTTCCTTGTAGAAGAAATGTTGGCTCATTCTTATTGGAATAAGAATATTTTCAGTAAGTGCTACATGGTAGTCAGCCTTGTTTCCTCCTAATGCAATTGTTTTCAGCATAGCTAAACTGACCTGAACATAATTTTAAGTCATTGTATTTGTTGAAACTCTCGTTAGCCTCTTAAGGCTGTACTACAATGTTGATAACTACATATAACAGGCAAACTTTCATTTAGCTTTTAGGCACCATCAATATAAGCTTGTACCTGAGACTAAATATCCTTAAGCATGCCATTAATTTTGACAATAGACTTCAGAATACTGTATTTTCATTGAATTACCTCTAGAGACATGCTGCCACTTTCTGTCCCTGGAATCTTGTATCATTCTCACTGTTCAGTGCCGCTTAGCAAAATATCCAATGAAATATTACCAAAATAGTCCTCCCAAAGCATATTACATTCAATAATTCTATTCAATATTGCAAACTAATTTCTAAACTCTGTGTCTTTATGGATCAATATCATCTAAGACATCTTTAGACTACCATACTGTCTAGTGAAGTTTTCAAACCAGAAGCAACAATACGAAGGACCAGTTTGCAGCTAACTTCCAAAAACCCACTTGTAAAACACAGTTTAAGACAGAGAATGAGGAATCCCCAAAATACAAACATGAGATGTTTAATATGCTTAGAAACCCATGCTATCATGTGCGGAGTTAAGTTGTCCATCAGTACGGTCACTCAGCATTCATGCACTGACTGCATTAAGTGCAGAGAAATGGCTGCTAGAATAATCAGTGCAAGGAAGAGTGTCTCAGATGAGAGGAAACAAGAAGTATTTTGACCTTTTTCAGTCCAGAGAGATAAAGTCTGACAGGGGACACAATTGATTCAGGCAGGAGTGGGCGTGACAAGTCAAGAAGGGAGATGAACTGTAACACCAAATGACAATGTTGGCATGATACAAAGTCAGTACAAACTAGCCATCCCTAAATTTAGGGTGAAAGCTGATTAAGGTTTCTAAGCACCAAAGGAGGCTAGAGCTGCTTTCCCATGGAAGTACTGTTTAAAGAAAGAAATAATAATAACTACATGAAAAACAGTGTTACACAAGTAACATCTTGTGTATCTAAATGCTACAGTTGCCTTCAGCAGGAAAGTCCTGGATTTATCAGATAAAAATGTATCTGTTCAAAGTCACTCTCTTTTCATGAATTAACTGAGTCTAAGGGCAGTTTACAAATAGGATTGAATTACAGTAAAGAAGTAAAAGTTTGTGTTCATACAAAGCCTATTTCACAGTGCTTTCCAACGAATACAGAGAACAATTATCCAACCTCATTTATCTGAGGATGAATCATTTAAAAGCAGCTATAATTATATGATGCTTTTAGGAATAACATCTCCCAGATCAAGAGGTGATAGAATTTCAACTGCCACTACCCAGAATCCTGACTTAATTCAAATCATCAAACCTCCTCTCATCTCCTATATTCTCTTTGTTCACAAATACAATTTCCTTTCTTAGAACAAAAGAAACATTTAAAGAAAAAGGAAACCTTCCATTCTTGTTTCTTGGCAGCCTTTCAGACCTCACAAGGGTTTTCCAGCAGCCTAAAATACATTTACAACCCAAGCCATTCTACGATTATATGACCTATTGACTTCTAAGGTGAAAGAGAAAAAATGAAGTATGGAATTTATAGTACAACAGCTGCACGCTACCTTACAGTACATTTAACATTTAATTTTTGTCACTCAGAACATACAATGACTGCACATCACCATACATTAAAAAAAATGAAATACACATTTATTTATTCATGGACATAACCATTTGTAACTATAAAAATTTGAGAATCAGTCTTTGAAATGTTAAAATATTTTTAAGAAATACTTGTTAAAATTACTATACAGGTATGGTAATTTTAACTATGCAGTCACCGCACTACATTTCATGAGGTTGGGTCAAATAAATGGCCTTAATAGCCATTGGGAAAAAGCTTACACATTTGGATGAGGATTGTAAATATCAAATCTGCAAAACAATGATAGCCATTCCATGATGATGTAAATTTTGGAAATGTGCGAAAAACTAGTTTGTCCATGGTAATTGGTTGAGCATAGTTCTCAAAATAACTGAAAAGTACCTACTAAGCTAATTATGTTTTGGCCCAAAAACTTGGCTACTGTTCCAACTATGAGTTTTGTTACCATGCTTTGATAACACCATCTAGACTATAAATTCTCATGTAGAAAGAGAAATTTAGTATTAAAATATTTCTAAACTGTAATGTACACAGAGTTGATCTATTCTCACCAACACTCAGTCACTTCACATACCTTCTTCAGTCTCTCATGTTTTTGGCTCATCTGATCATCTTCCTTCACAGGAATCGGTGCAACCACACCTCTCCAGTCCCAGTATGCTTTACCTGTTGAGAAGATATATGTGGCTTTGAAAAATGTATCATTTATCTAAATTATATCATGTTATTTATTTGCATTCAAGTTACTGAATTTCTAGTTTCAAATTGCGAAACTGGAATTGACATTTACCTCCTGTGTGATGAGTCAAGAGTTTCCAAAATACATTTCAAATATTATCATGCTCATTTTGTGGATCAATGAGAAAAATCTCCAAGTCAGCATCTCATTGCATAGCTTTTAACGCAGCCCTTTCACTATTTTCAAAGGAAAAACTGCAAGTCTCATTTTACATAGATAGCCTCCATGGAAAGGCATAAAAGAAGCTCTGTATTCTTCCATTCACCTTATCGTGGAAAGAATTAGCATGGCTCCCTGTTTTTCTCTTAAAGCTATTGGCTGCAATGTTGACTGTAAAACCTCCTCCTCTTTTGTTTCCTGAAAATTATCTAACTTGTGTGCTTCTTTCAGATTAAGGCTGAAAATGGGAACAGAGCTGCTTTTCAAAGAGCCATCCTGATTTCATTTAACTGCAACTTCACCAAAGTCAGAGAAACGCATGAATTCTTGTGCCAAGTCACAACGTAGTTCTTACTCTAATATGGTAATTTCTTTAAAACATTCCTAATGGTAAAGTACACATGCATTACTTTGCTAAGAAAAACTATACGTATCAGCTTCAACTAAGCTGAATTCCTTCCTCCAAGACAACTTCATTCAATGAAAAAGAAAACATGCATTACATAAAATCATGAGTTGCCAAATTACATTGTAAAATAAATGACTTAATAAATGACTTAGTTATCAAGTTATCAAAAATAAATAAAAAAAAAACATCTTGATTTCAGTGAATGCACTATGATATCAGGGAGATCAAAGATATCACAGTAGATTAAATAATTTCAGGAAAACCAAATAAAATTTGGCTAGTGAAATGAAAATCTTAAGCACACAATTTTGGCCTATTATTCACATCAAAATAGAGCAGACATACTGAAAAGAATCAATATTTTTTTTGTCCAGGCCTCATTCTCCAAAAAACAGTGTACTTTCATCACAAGAAAATATTACATGTAAATAGGTACAGAGATATCTGCAGTCTCCTCCTCTCTACGCTGGCTGAACTCTTCAAATACGAAGTTTAATTTAACTTGCACTTTTTAGTGTCATAATTAATAAAGACTCTGGCTATTCTTGCTGGTTTACATTTTGGTATCAATAATTTACCTGAAAAAAACAATCACAAAAAGTAATCACAATTTTGTGAAAAGTATGGATTTTTACTTAATTGTTCAAAAATCCCTTTTGCTTTCTTCTGCCTCCATCCTGTGTTACTATGAGTTATTTTTCATGTTTTCACAGCAGCGCACCACTGAAGGGAGCACATGAAGACGGAATTTCTTGATCGATTTCTTTTCATTTTCATTACTACTTAGCATGCCTGAGACATGCATACCTGCTTAACCATTCTCTTTCTGTAGCATAATCATCTCTTCTGAAACCATTTCCGAATGAATTTTGTCCAGGGGACTGTAGAAGGACCGTTTTCTTCTGCCACGTGTTTTTTGGAATGCTGTGACTAGTACTGCAGAACTGTTCTTATTCATCATTAACAAAATAATACGCTTTCTTTTATTCTACAGGTCACAATGATTACATTTACTGACACAGGAGCTTACACCTCTACCCAAAACCAACAAAAATTCTGTAATTTCATTATGTATTCATTGATGGAAAAAAGATCAAAAGCACTAGGGAATGAAAACTAAAAAAGCTGTTCTACAAATGGTTAAGACTCAGGTCACGTTCATCCATTTTTCTGGTCTTCCAGATACTTCCTGCAACTTCTGCCATCTAGATCCACCATTCTTTCTAACATAACCAGTATTCCTGCAGGGAAATGAAATGGTCTCTTGGCTGCTCCCAGGAGAGGTGAGTTTACTAAACACTAAATTACTTGAGTGACCTGTTAGACTGCAAACAAAAAAACCAGCAAATTTGGTGCTCTGTATTTGATAGAGCAGGCACAGTTCACCATTAGAAAACATCCAGCTAAACAATATTTACCCCATATTTGCAATAGGAAACAGGATTTAAAGATACAGATCTTTCTTTTGTAACTTCTATAAATTTGAAGAAGCACATTTTTTTAGTGGGATGGATTTTACAGTTTCTGACTCTCTTCATGAATGCCTAACTAATGGAATCCACTGCAAAGTTCAGTTATTTGAGCTACTTCTAGAAATCTCTGTCATCATGGAAACACTGCAGAGCATTGCTTATTTCCTGTTTTTTTTTTAATCAATCCCTCCTCTACTAAATGAAGACATAGATGAAGAATGCCTGATATAGCTTGGTAAGAAAAATAAAGACATTCTGTAGTTACCACATGAAATATCCTAATGTAAATGCTGGAACGTGATGGGGATCTCTCATACCTAGTTTACTCACATTGCTCAGAAAAGTGATTTTCTGTTACCCACAAAACCATTACCTTGGAGCCTGAAAATTTACTAAGTATCAGCATTAACAAACAAACAAAACAAAAAAAAGGTTTGAGAAAAAAAGTATGTATATATCTTTTTGCAATTCCAGGGTCCAGTGTGTAAATACTCCGTTAAAAATAAAAATAATAATAATTAAAAAAAAAAAACAACAACAACAAAGAAATGCACAAATTCCTGGTCGTTATACTTTCCGAAGTAACACTTCTGAATTAGACCATGACGATTTTGATCTCATGCACTTTTTGCTAGTCACTTTCCAAACAGAGTTTCAAGTAAGGTCAGACAGGAGGATTTTTACTTCCATGGGCCCTTTAAAAGTCAAATATTGTTGTAGGAAGCTTGTGATATATGTATCTGTGTGATCCAATAATCAGGTGAGAAAAGCTAGAGTTTAAAGAAAGTTTCTCCCAAAAGCACTAGTCCCAGTTCCTCTTTTAATTCAGAAATCAATGTTGGAAAGAAGAGGAGGAAGTTAATGAAAACTCACAGCTAGCTGCTCTCCTGTAAAACACATCTGATTTTTATCTATGATGCTTATAAGCAAGTATTAGCCAGATGATAAAACTAGAAGTTTATTATTAGAAGTGGTTAGGTATGACAGACACGATTAGAAGTTCATTGTCTTAGTATATGTATAACTCAAATGAAGGATGGGGCTAGTGTAATAACATAGCACTGTAGAACTTATTTGAAGAACTCCAGCTTTGTCCATGAAGTCAAATGCTAAGTGCTTTCAGAGCGAACAGGAAAATATGATGACCAGAATCCGGAAATACAAAGCAGCCCTAGAATGCACGAAGTTCATACTGATGTTTGTATCTATTCTGATACATTTTACACTGACAGGTTAGCATAAATAAGTTGTGGTTCATCAATGCAACAAATGTGAGATTCTGTTCCCTGTCTAGATGGCAAATTCCATTACTTTTATCTTAAATAACTTTCCATAGCAAAAAAAAAAAAATCATATTTTTATATATTATGTATTTTGTATTTTTACTATATTTAAAATACATTTTATGCTAGTTAGCTTTTTTCCTTGAGACAGTTTCTTTGAGATCAACTTTAAAAGCAAACAAATACTCAATTGTCTACTGGGGTTCTGAGCAACCTAAGAACTTAACTTCCATGCAGATCAATAGAACAATTAAAACCTGATGGGATTTCCTAAAATGTCCAGGACTCAGACTGCATTTTTACACGCCACAACATTATTGAATTCTGACTTTTTAGCCTCTGGTCTTATTCTATTTTGAGAGTACATTTTCTTACCTATTTTGACATGGACAATGCCACTTCACAAACTGAGAGCCACCTGTGTTCACACATACATACTAGAGCTATCATAGTCCAAAAATTATTATTTCTATTCTCAAGCTCTATCATCCTCTTTCACTTACCATTTCAACTTTCAACCTATGTTAGCCCATTTGACTTATTGCATTTTTACTCTATATTTATCCATGTAAATTAGATTTAACCAACACCACTATTGCATTCATCTTTATTTTCGCCTGCAGACATGTATATTTAAGTTACTTCAGAGCTTGTTAAGGTTTTTCAAATGCAAGAATTCCGTTTTTGTAGTCTAGCGATTATTGAAATTATTAGTTCATTACTTAAACTCATACTGATCCTTAACTTTCTTTTTTACTGATTGGTTTGTCAAAAACACTTGTAAGAATGAAAATAATTTTCTTACAGCTAACCTCTTTTCCTCAACAAAAGCAGGATTGTTGCTCTTCCTAATGTCACAGCTACTGCTGGAAATATAATTCCAGTGCCAAATGGCCAATGTAAGATGCAATTCTTCAGTTTATAGAAATAGCTATTCAATTTACAGTAATTAAACCTTTGGTGTCTACTGTATTAGCAAGTGTAAGCACAATCATAGAACCTGGAAGGGATCTTAAAGATCATCTTGTTCCAAACCACCCGCTGTGAGGGCACCAGCCCTCTGACCATCTCTGTGGCCCTCTTCTGAACTCACTCCAACAGCTCCACATCCTTCTTGCGTTGAAGACCCACGTCTGGGGGCAGGTCTGGATGCAGTATTTCTAGCGGGGCATCATATAGGCAGAATAAAAGGGGATAATCTCCTCCCTTTCCCTGCAGGCCACCTCTCTTTCGATGCAGACCAAGATGCATTTGGTTTTCCAGCCTGTAAACACATGCTGTTGATTTGTGTCAAGCTTTTCATAGAACAGAACTTCTAAGACCTTCTCTGCAGGGCAGCTCTCAATGAATTCTTCCCCTAGTCTGTACACATCTCTGGGATAGACCTCACCCAATGCAATATCTTAAAGGTAGAATCAATCCTCTCTTCCTCACAGAAGTGATATTGGTACCCACCAGACAAAGGATATTGGCTAGAATTCATCATGTAATACATCGAGGTGTTTTAAAAAATGCTTGTTTAAAATAGGAATATATTCTTCATTTCCTTTCATTGAAGTATCAGAAAACATCCTTCTACAGTCTAAACAAAGCTATGTATTTCA